TTTATTGTCATATTCAAGAGGCTCATGTTATTTTCCCAGTTTTTCCCTCTCTTTGATAGGCGTTTTAGAGGCTCATGCTGAAATGGCATTTTCTGTCTGTGATTTTCCCTGCACTGCTATTAAGACTTCTAGCCCTTTAGAGAGCGCAGGAATGAGCATGCACTGACTGTGAACTGTGGTGATCTTGAATTCATAGAAATGCTACTGTAATGTTGGCATAGATATATTATCTTGTGGAAAGAGGGAAAGAACCAAAATCTGTCCCTGAAAAGGTCAATCTGGCACGTCTGTTCTATTCAGTATGTTTCTGCTGCCCTTTCTTCTCTCTACTCGTATTAAAACTGACTGTATATGGTTATGAGACCTTCCTCACCAACTGCTTTTTCCCTTGTGAGGCAAGTACACAACTGTGGGTGTTCCAAAATACCATATGAATCTTTTAAGTAATAGTTACATTCCTAGAAGCATATTTGATTTTCATGGATGGGTTATTTGACAGTAAGGTTAGATTTAGCTAGTTTTGCAATTTCCATCTATGCGATATATCCATATTTTCATTAGTATTAATCTACAGAAGAAATACTTCCTAATTGTCATTATCCCAATGCAAAGGATCGGAGGTTAATCATTGCTGATTCACCCTAGATTGAAAATTCATTACTCAGAGGAAACTGTCTAGTACTTGTTACTCATCTTCAAGTTATGGATGGTCTCTAGTTATTAAAGCAAAATAAGCAAAAATCCCATCTTTATTGACATATGATTGACGTTAATTTTCAGAGACTGAATCTTTAGTATTTTATAGTATAAATGCTACAATTTCAAAATAACTTTCAGTTTATTTTTCAGGCCCTTTGTGTAAACTGTGGAATTCAAGGACTTAAGTTTAGGTGTGTTAAATTATAATGTGTTTATATTCTTGAGATTGCTTAATCTGATAGTGGCTATAAAGTTGTCTTTGTATATTCTCTGTTCTTTCCGATGTTAGTTTTGGAGCAGTGCTTTAAAGTTAGCTTTTATCACCGAAGCAAATGCAGTTCCACAATCCCATGTAAATCATGTGTCGGTATGTTCGTCTATTGAATTCATCTTACTTAAAGATGTGTTATATCCAGCCTCTATTTTGCAAGGACATAACAATCTCAAACCAATTTACACCACCTTATAATCTCTTGTATTACTTCCCACAATGAGAAATGAGCATTGTCTTTTTTTCTTAAACAAAGCAAAGCACAGAAACCCTGTATAAGGAAAATAAACATTTTCATGACTAACAAAATTGACACAGCTAGTCACCATCAAGTAACAGTGAAAAACTTGTTTGGGTTTTTTTCTAGTACAGCTGTCTGCTATGGCTAACTGTTAGGTATACCTTTTTTTTCCTTTTTCGTCTTCAAAATATCAGTAGGCTTCTATGTTTATTTCAATGATTGTGTTCTCTTCTACAGACAGACAGCATCAGAATGGATATTCAGTTATGCTGTCCACTGATTTCTTTTTTTGAAATGATGCAGATACAGAAACAAACCTCCTAAAAGGACTTTAAAAAATCTGATTGGTTTTCACTAAAGCCTATGCCGTTTCTATAAATAGTCCAGAGCTGTGTGTATCTGTGCAAGTGCAAAAGAACAGTGCATGTTTCCTGCAGAACAGCATGGATATGCAGGCAATTGCAGCAGATAAATGGGCTGAGTATTTGTCTTCCTTTTGTCACGTTATATGGATGAGTGGGGATAATAAGTATGGGCCACCTTCTCTTTGTCCCCCTGCCCTTTTTCTCCTCTTCATTTTTAACCTCTTCCATCTCTTGTCTTTCTCTAGCAATCCCTGTCCTTCTCATGCTCTCAAAGATCCTTAAGATGTATTCAAAGCAGCCTAGGTACTAAATGTTTAAGGGCTTTCCTTAGCCATTGCTTTTATCCCTGGTAATAGTAAAATGAAGAAAAGAGGTGTCTGATTAATATTCTGTATGTGGGCTGTCCTCATCTCTGTGGCATTGCTACCAAAAAGCTGGAGAGAGAACTTGCATCTGTTCTTTGTGAGAGTGCTGAGGTAGTATTGCCTTAAACTGGGTGCATTTACATGACACAGTACCATGTAGGATAGTAAACAGGAGCTTTTTGGCTGAAAATGAAGCTTGTCAATGTTCAGGATGAAAGGAAAGGAAATAAAGAAGAACTAGCCAAGATATTTTTAACCCTTTTGGACTGCTTCCATCAGCCTTTTGTGTACATTTAAAAAACAGCATAGAGTCATTGGTGTCCTAAATCCGCACCACTGCTTGAAAAAATATTTTCAAATCTCAAAGACTAATTTGGACTATGTAAAGTCAGTACAAGGAAGAAAGATGTTTAAGATGACATGCATGCTGTAGGATGGTGCAGTGGACAGCTAGTGCTGAACTAGCGTCCTGGTGTGGCGCGGGGACATAGCCACGGCAATTAGAACAGATATGAGGAGATACTGAGCTCCTTTGAGTGGAAGTTTTGTAGCACTTTCAGAAGGACCAGTAATGTTGATCCTGTTATTTTTGATAAACTGAACTTGAAATTGTTATAATGCACTTGAACTTGCAATGGGACACAGTAGTCTGCTGCCTTTTTTTTTTTTTAAAGCCTAGTTGATATCACTGTGATGACCTGATTGTTGTTCTTCAGTGTGTATGAAAAAAATGTAGATTAGGATCATATTCTACTGTGATACAGGACGCAGAAGGAGTAAGTGTCTAAAAAAGCCGTTTGAATGTGGCTTGCTAATGTAAGCAAAAAAGAGCACAATGCGGGATTGCATGACTAAATTGAATATCACAGGGATAGAAGGGTGGTTTTGTTTGTTTTGTTTTTAGTGGAGGACTGTGGTGAGAATTCTGAAATCCTCAGGCTACTGAAATATGGGAGACTGATCTTATAAATTTGCAGACATTTAGTTGTACAGATAAAAGAGGTTAGTGATTCTCCCAAGTAACGTTAGGTTCTACTTCATGATATCTGCACTGTAGAAGAGCTATCATTAAGCAAACAGCAACATAGCCACTGAGGCAGACAAATTAAGAGGGGCTTTTTTATTCATGAATCTGGTATTTGCTACAGACTTTTATTCCATGAAGTATGGTGCATAATTCTGTACTACCATTTAAAGCTCTGATAGTTTTTATCTGTGTGAAGATTGATTAGAAATTAAAAAAGCTGCAAGCTTCTGTCTGTTTTTAAAAGAATCTCTTTTCCTTTTCTCCATTCTTGGCATGAAATACTTTAGATCGCATAGCCTGCAGACAGCTGTATAAATTTTTAAGGGTGAAGACACTAACTATATATTGCAAGTCATTATTATTACTTAGTTGTTGTAATAGGCTTATGGAATAATATAAAAGAATCACCTGAACCAGTGTACTAAGACATGTATTGTTTGTGGGAGTCAAGATTTTTTTTGCTGGCGTTTCTTAAAATTCTCTAAAATGAATGTAAGACAAAAAATATTTTTCAATTTGTTTACTGAAGTATAAAGAGAGAGATTCACAAATGACTGGCTCCTATCTCTCTTTAAAAATGAGAGTAATGAAGATAGTTTGTCTTTTATAGTAATAGGGTGCTCAGCCAACATTAAGAAATCACTGTTTTGCTTAGAAAAACAAGTGCTTTAGGCTGCAAATTTGACATACGCTTGCACTTTCTGGCAAGATGCATTCTTCAGATTTCATGGGATACAGTTCTGCTCTCAGCTCTGTATCGTATGTCTTTCCTCTGCTTTTCCGGCATGCTCTAGGGATGTTCACATACAGAGAAAACAGGCTAGATTTGCTGAGTGGCTTTGAGAGCAGTGTCTTTCTCCAGTGATGACGATGGGCAATCTGCGCAGGGCAAGCATAGAGGCAAGTTGGAAGTAGTCATGCAGAACTGAGGAAAAAGTGAAAACATTCCACCAATTTTTAAAACAAAAATAATTTAGAGTATTACACATTCTTAGTGCGTTGGTAGTCGGAATCCTAGGGATAAAGATGACAGACATTGCTTAAAGCAGGGTTCACTGTCATATGTCTGTGCTGTACTCCCTGGATTAGGCAGCACCTTGTATACATAGAGTTCAAACAGACAGTAATTGGCAACACACAGATCATGCATGTTATAAAAACTAGCGATGATGCCTACTATTTTCTGGCAGATGCAGCCTAGAATAATGCTTGATCTTAATTATATACCATATTTTGCCTTATGCGAATGAATTCTTTTCTATATACTGTTCTTAAACCTAGCTCCTAATTTGCCCTTTGTGCTAAAATTAATGTTAGTTTCAGTAACAGGTAATAGCAGTATCGCAGCCCATACATCCAATGATTTTCCACATGTCTAAACTTCAATTTTAGCTATTAATGTGGGGAAGACATTTGTGATACTATATCCCTTCATATTCTCTGGCCAAAAGTATTTGTGTTTTAGTTGCTTTTAAGAACTCTGATCAAGTCTAGGGTCCCATGGTGTTAGATGCTGCACAAATTCAAAGTAATTGACAGATCTTGTTGTGAAAAGCTTTTCTAATTTAGGTAGACAAGGTAGAGTGCAGGAAGATTAAAAAAAAAAGTCACTGGATTTTATATAATTCTAAGTGGATGGTCACCTCCTTTGCTTTCAGAAAGCTAATTAAGTGCACTTCTGAGTCAAACCACTTTTAGCTCAGAAGCAGATGAGCTGTAAAGTCCAGGAGAATGAGATTTTTCTCTCTTCCCAGCATTTGGTGACATTTACAAGTTGATAAAAGGAATACTGTATTGCATCTGTTGCTGCTTTTTTTGGGGCAAACAATTTTATTGCTGAGGATGAAAACACAGCACTTTTCGAATCCCACATGTTCTTATAGGCTGAATATGTTCCCTAATTTCTTGTGTTTTCAAAAGGACATTTGCAGATTGTTAAAATGAGTATCAAAGAACAGTTAAGTTGTCTGCCTAGAACTTAACCTATTAACAGCTCCAGTGATTTTCCACATTTTGTTTTTTTTAAAGATACTGGAATATGCTGCAGGATTGTAACAGAGAGAGATGGAGGTGTGCATCAGGGAAGACATGTTTTAGCTGTTTGTAAGGAAGTATTACCCAGAGCATGCTAATGGAGCTGCCAACCCATTTTTAATCCTCCTCTCAAAAGCTTGATAGCAGAAGTAGGCTTCATCAGCTATTAACAGAGACTCTAGCTCCTCTCTGAGATCCAAATCTTGTTAGGCATTTAGCATGCCAGCAGGATGTCTGAATGCACTCAGGTCTATGCTCAGATATAACAGTTTCATCTCACCCCAGCTGTTTCCAATAGGGATTTCTCTCTTTAAGATTGCCAAAGAAACAAACTGGGAAGCTGTACTTCTGCAGAAAAATCAGGTCAACTGATTCAAGAAGTAAATGCAGTTCTCCCACTTCCCTTTGATCAAAATCATTTGCAGAGCAATTCATGCTTGGACAGATCTGTGACAGCCCCCTCCAGGTTTTCTCAAAACATTTAACATTTCGGATCCCTTCCTCCATTAGAAATATATAAGCTGTCGTAGGTTGCTTTATTTTTCCAGTTTCTCCACATCCTGCTACTTATAATCCATTTCTGGGTATGCCTGTCAGCAAAACTTCTGCCAGAAGAGTAACATGGTTTAGTTTTAAAATAGCAGCTTTCCTTTGTATATGGAAGTGGTGTTTTTTATCTTTGTTTTTCCCCATCTCCAAGCTCCTCACTCTCAGTCCCTTGAAAAGAGACTGTTCATGGATTTTATTGTATGCTAATGAAGGAGGTTTTGTGATAGGCATTGTTAATGTGTTGGCAGTCTCTTCCTGTTGCATGGTGGATCTGCTTTGTAATACCAGAAAATGGAGTGAAGCACAGAGAGGATTAAATAAATGAGAAAAAATTTCGTGGAAAGTTAGTTGCTAATTATTGTTGAAAAATTTACACTCCCTGAAGCCCAATCACTTGCCAAATTGGTGGTAGCAGTTGTCAGTCATATACGAAGACAGGTCGCAAGCTATGTAAGTTGTCCAAGATTCTAAGTGCTTAAGTAATTAAAAAACCAATTGGAATATGCGAGGCAGAAAAGCAGCAAGCTTTTTTGCAGTGCTAGATCCCCAGTTGTATCCAACACTATAAGTAAGCGTTTGCTTTAGTCCAGATGAGCATGTCCACCAACACATGTGTAACTTGTTGTATGAGTAAATAACACATACAAGAGCTATTTCTGCTACAACTGCAGATGTATAATAGCTCTCTTCCTCCATCCCTGCAGTGAATTATATTGTGAATTTCTGACAGGTTCATAAATGATGAATAGCCTATAAAGTTTCTTTTTGGGGGGTCATTTTTCTGCTTAATCGCTCTCCATGAAATAAACCTTAGGGAAGACACAGAAAATCTTTTTCATTAGATAGGGATAAATAATTCAATAGCTCCTTTAGCTTCAATCCAGTGTTACTCTGTACTTGGACTACAATTATGTATCAGATTTATATACTCACCTTTTCTGTTAATATATTTAGAACAAACTTGTTCTGTAAAAAATTTAGCAGTATTGTTAAGTATGTCTTAGGAAAGCTACAGAATTAATGTTTCTGAAGTTCAGCTACTCTGGGAACGGTACGTTTTGGATATCAAGTTTGTATATTCATTAATAGCAAGCGCATAACGCACAGCAACCAAATACTTTCCTTGTTTATAACACAGCAGCTTTTTGGAACCTATTCTACAGTTACTTGAGTTGCTTCTGCTTAATTCAGTGCAAGCTGCTTGGTGCTTAGCATTCTTGAGTGCTGCCGAAAAGGTCATAAGTAGTGCCTGGTTTTAAGTAAAAACAGAGAAATTCTGGCTTACACTTGATATTGCCTTCACTATGACCACCGTAGCCTCTATAGAAAGTATCTTACTTTTGGTTTCAAGGCATCATGAAAGCGTGAACACATTTTTAAATTATATTTTTCCTCTGCTTGTTTTCAGCTTCTTGGGCCATTGTTACACCTTTTCATTTTGGAAACGGGAGGCTGTAATTCCTAGCTTGTATGTGGAAGCAAGCATTACTTTCTAACACTACTTGTTTGTGAGAAATTAGCTGTTAAAAACATGCCAAAATGCAAATGAGGAGGCTGAGCAGAATGGCAGGAAGTTAATCATAGTAGTTCACATTCTTGCAACCTGCCAGATTTGGAAATATTTCTGTACCTCATTGGAAGGCTGGGGATGTCAGCTTCCCAGGGTAGCAGTATTTTATTTTAGTATTGGCTGTTTGTTGAAGTTTCTGGGCAGAAACCACAGAATTCTCTTTCTGGCTTTTTATGTTAATCCAAGATAATAACTGAAATAGTCTGAAACTAATGTACAGTCAGGATTTGACTTTAGGATTTGGATTTTTTTTGTTTTTAAACCAAATAATTGCGCATGGGAAGGAAAGAAGAAGCAGAGTTGAAGAACAGGAGCGAGCTCTTAGCCAACACATTTGGCAGCATAGGAGATACGGTGGAAATACAGAGATATTTAGTTCCAAAGCATAATAAAAACATGGTTTTATTAAGAAAGGGTCTGTTTTTCCTTCTTATGAACTACAGGGTTATAAGGTCTTATTGTTGTAGAGCTGCTTGCATTTTGCACGCTGTGCTAGGATTACAGGAAAATTATTCTAGTGGTGTTTAAAATCTCATTGAGAACTGAAGTTGGGAAGAAAGAGCTTTGCCTATAAAAGACAACAACACAGTAGTTTGTATATACTTCTAAGAAAGCAGGCCGGCGTTGGCTGGGCTCCACTTCAACGAAACCTGCAGTAGTATTGCAACCTCAGGGCTGGTGTGGTCCACCATCACTTCCACTCAGCACTATTGTCTGGTAGAGCTGGATGGGAGCAAGTAATCAATGCAAGATGGGCATCAGTACATAATGTGAGACTTTTAAAAGTTTTTGCTTAACACTGTGGACGGAGGCAATAATAAACATATTAAGATGTTTATTTAAATAAGCCTTTAATACTGACAGCTGAGGAAGAACAAGATAAGAAATGTGAATTATCACAAACTGAATATGATGGGCCTGTCTCTGCCCTGGGGTACGTAGTCCAAAAATATAATCTTTGTGGATGCTAGAAATGTTTATGTACATTTCATGTTAAGAACAGGCGATTAAATTGTTTCTAAATATTATTAAAAGGAGCATTGTTTTTCACAATATACTGAAGTTGATGGTTCTTCATATATGGGCAAACAGAACGCTCCAATAATTTCAATCCAAAGCTATTTGTAAGGAAAAGAAAAAAAATTACCACCACCATAGATAGAGTTTCCATAAAGAATTTAAGAAGCTTGCAGTATGCAACTTGTAAAATACGGAAGCTTACTTTGAATATTGTTCTGAATTGTTTCCTTTTAGGATTAATCTATGTGCCTATTGATAGGAAATTTTTTTTTTTGTGATTAGATGTAATAATCTGACTATATAAAGACTTCTCTCTAGTGAAGAGGAGATAAAAGGGAGTGAATGATGCTAGGTAATGACAGGTTGTTTCTGTGTTCATGACAAGTGATGCATTTAGCATACTAACAGCTATTGATTAGTGGTTCTGTGCGATTTTTATGTTATAAATCATTAAAAAATTTCTTTAGAATGACTTTTCTTTTTAACTGGACATTCTGTAGTGTGTTTATAAAAGACTGGGGTGAGGTCTGCTCAGGAGAAAG